AGTAACCTTTATCATTTAAATTAATTACTTACTAAACATATCTTTCTGTGTTCCAATCAAGGTTCCAATATTGGTCATTGTCTTTGTTGATTGATTACCTATTGTTCCCTCGTCTTTGTTGTCTTTGATATGAACTCATTAATTGGTGTTTGGAAATTATTTTACTTCCCAACTTTTCCCATGTACTTGATCTTTTTGACGCGTAATTATGTTTGAGGCGTTTTGCTGCGCCATCGTCTCCTTTTATGGGATTAATTAAATTAAGGGTTTGACTCATCAATAAATGTCCCCAATTCTCAAGGACACATTTCTTTATGAATCGAACACCCCGCTTTACCAGCATTGTTCATAGATCTTCCCGTCAACGTATTTGGTGTAACAACACCATCACTTTGGTTTAAAGCCATATGCTTTAATTTAATTGTGGCATGAGACTAATCCTGTAACTTCGCCCAAGACGGTACATAAAAACTTCTCAGTTTATTTCTTTTTTTTTTTTCTTTTTTAAAAAAAAAAAAGAGATTTGCTAATTATATCGACAAAAGGAAGAGTTTTAAAAAGAAAAAAAAAAAAAAATCTTTTCCCTAAAATGTCTACAACAATAGAATCAAAATATCGTCAACTTAAAGTTCCAGAACTTAAAGACTTACTAGTGAAAAAAGGTCTGCCGGTTTCTGGTAAAAAGGAAGAGTTGGTTGCTAGACTTTTGGCAGCCGAAGATAAGAAAATTGTAGAACCAATAAGCCAAACTCCTAATAGTAACTCGATGGCAACCAGCACCAATACTATTTCTACTCGTAAAAGTAGTATTGACAATATCACTAATAAAGTTTCGATGGAGACTACTACTTTGCATACCGAAGGAAAGAACGATGATACTGATTTGTTTGATAAAGATCTTAATTTAATATCAGCGGATATTACATCTGGAATTGATAATGACTTTTGGGATAATATAACTACGGAGTGAGCTAATGTTTCAAATTATTATTAGTCCTTTCACGCTTTCCTTTTAATTTTCTATTAATTTATATATGTTCTTTTCCTTTTTATAGCATTACCATACCTAAAGATGGCGAATTCGATTCTCTCATTTCTCCATTTTCACCTTCACTTTCGGTAACTTCAATCAAAGATTTATCACCCGAAAAAGCAAAATCAGAGATTCCTGAGACAACCAAAGGGTCTAATAACGTTACTAACGTTGAAGCAAAAAGTTCGGTTGAAACAACAAACGATGATGCTAAAACTTCTAAAGCAGAACCTTCTTCACCGAATTCTGATAATATTGTAAAACCATCAGGCTTTACATGTAAGAAGATCGTTTTCGATAATGCTCCAAAGATTACATCTCCCCAACTTCCAAGTAAAGAAGCTGATTTGGCTACAGAATTGGAAAGACGAAAGAAACGTGCTGAACGGTTTGGGGTTGGTTTATCTGATTCCGATAAAAAGCTACAGAGAGCTGCTCGATTTGGTACGACCGTTTCTAATCCTTTGGATTCTCCTCTTACAGGTATTTTTATAACCCTAAATCCGTTTTTCATATATTATCATTTAATAAAATTTTCTTTAAAAAATGATCTACATTTTAATATTAGCACCGAGATTGCCAAACAGAAAACCAGTAAGTTTTTTTTTTCATATATTCTAACATGTTGGTATTTAATGAAATTTATTAATGAAACGTCAATTATAGTCTATTGTAGAGAATGAAGAAAAATTAAAAAAGCGTGCGGAAAGATTTGGACTTGATATATCCGAATTATCTACAAATACTACAAATACATTAAGTGAGGAAGAAAAGAAAAGAAAGAGAGCAGAGAGATTTGGTTTAGTAAGTTTTAACAACAAATTATTTGCCTCAAAAGTTATTGTTTCCAATTTGCTTACACGAATCAATAATATTCAATTCTTAAATATTTTGTTTCAAGAATGCTTCACCAAATTCTGTATCTAATTCAATTAATGAAGAAGATAAAAAGAAAAGAAGAGCAGAACGTTTATCTATTAACGTAAATATAATTTTAATCACGACGGTTTTTTTACTGGATTAATTGTTTATCCATTAACTCATGTTTTTCTTTTTTTTAAAATAAAAAAAATATATATAAAGACAAGCGGTGAACCTACGAATAAGAAAGTGAAGACCTAATAATAAAAGGTTTCGATCGATAGGATGCTTGACATATAAATCGGGTAACGTTCAATTTTTGTTTCAGAGAATATATTAACTCCTTTTTTCCCTTGATATAAATATATTTGCAGGTTGGACCGACTTTAAATTGCAATGTATTTTTTATCAATTAGTTTTAATTGCAGTTTTTCTCCCCTTCATTTTTAATGCTATATTTTGCCATTGTCCAATTGTATTGGCCAAGATGGAGCAAAATATTTTAATTTACCTGGTTTGTCTATATATGGGGTTACAAATTAAATACCGCTTTTAATATACAAAAACATCAATTTTTTTTTCTCTTTGATTAGACCCATTTTTGATATAAACTGGATAAAAGTGTCACACTTTTCCTCAAATAAATTAAAAAATTTTATAATCCTAAAATGAATGTAATTAATTATACAAGTAATCAATTTTTAATTTTAATTGACAATTATTGAATTTTTATGACAAGAATCCGGCAATCAAATGTTCAAAACCAATTCTGCGGAACTAAAATTATGCGTCTAACTTGATTCCTTGTTCTAATTATTTAAATTATAATTTTTCATAGTCCAATTTGGATTCTAATTTCTTTGCGTCTGCAACCTTTCTAGCTGCTTTCATAAAATCTTCTTGAAGAACATAGTCTCGTTCTTCACGAATTGCAAACATACCTTAAAGAAAAGAAATTTGTTGATTAAATTTTAAATCTTTTTAAAGTTTGAAAAAATATAGATATATGAATATATAAAACAAACCCGCTTCTGTGCAAACGTTACGTAAATCTGCACCATTAAACCCATCAGATAATTTTACAATAGCTTCATAATCTAATATTTGTTAAATGTTTGATTAATACTGTTATTATTATTGAACTACAATAAATTTATTTTAAAATGACAAAAAGATTGAAAAATTATTTACCAATATCGCCATGTTTTGTAATAGGTGCTGAATGAATTTTCAAGATTTCAAGGCGACCTTGTTCATTAGGTAATGGAATCTCTATTTTTCGATCCAATCTTCCAGGTCGCAACAGAGCTGGGTCCAACGTGTCAGGTCGATTTGTGGCCATAATTAATTTGGTTTGTCCTAGATAGTCAAATCCGTCCATTTGATTGAGAAGCTAAAAAGTCCAGACAAGTTTATCATCAAGGAATACAATAAAATGCTTCCAATATAATATTAATCATTACCTCCATTAAAGTCCTTTGAATCTCTCGATCGGCACTTGTACCTTCGGAAAAACGCCTTCCTCCAATTGCATCAATTTCGTCCATGAAAATAATGCAAGGCTCGTGATCCTTGGCATATCCGAACATTTCCCTAATTAATCGTGCACTCTCCCCAATATATTTATCTACAATAGCACTTGAAACAACTTTCAAGAAATTCGTTTCAAGTGTACTAGCGACAGCACGGGCAAGAAGAGTTTTGCCAGTACCTGGAGGTCCATACAAGAGGACTCCCTTTGGTGGTTTAATACCAACACGAAGGAAAAGTTCCGGGTTCATCAGAGGTAACTCTATAACCTATGTCATTCATTAAAATAAGTTAGCTAACCTTTTCTTGGGATAATTAACACTATTACGATCTTTAAAATAAGAATACCTCTCGAAGTTCACGGATTTGTTCACCAAGTCCACCGATTCCAGCAAAATTCACCTTACCCGGATCTTCTAAACTCATATTATATACTAAAGGATCGACCTCTCTTGGTAACATTCGCATAATTGTTAAAGTTGTCATATCTAAAGCAACTCTTGTGCCTTGTTTAAGTTTTTCTTTGTTTACTTTGTTACGACAACCTACCACATAACGTGGACCAGAGGATGCTTTCACAATAACTATACATGTGTAATGAATATATATAAAAAGATAGATATGTATTGATTCAAAGTAAAAGAAATTATAGAGAGTAATGTTGAAATGACATACATCGTTCTTCATCTAATTGTTTTAACACTTCGCCTATGATCTGACCAACGCTTTGTAAAGCTTTGATATCTTCTTCTGTTTTGTCATATTGCTTTTCAAGATCGCGAAGACCAAGACGAACTGTATATATTATATATATAAATAAAAAGAAGGAAAGATTTATAAGTTTGAATTTGATTTTCTTTTTGAAAATTGAACTTTATTGTATATCTATTCCTCGAGTAAATTTACACGAATTGTATTTTCGAACGTTAATCAAACTGTGATTAATCTATGTAAATATTCAAAATAAACTGGTTTTATTTTGAAATCGTTATTTTATATATAACTCATTCTACGGCTTATATAACATTCATTGTCGCTCACATTCTTTAACTTTTGCTTCTATTTCGCGATGCTCTAACAATTTCTTTTTGTAATCTTGTAAAGCTTTCTTGCGCCTGTCCGGATCTAACGAAGAAGAGCTCGTTGCCATTTTCGACTATAGAAAAATCGAGGAGAACGTTTTCGCAAATCTGATCGAGGAGGTTCGGAGAATTTTTTAACGAAAATGACCCTGAAAAAATTTTAAGTTTTTTGATGTGTCACTGCTGACGCATTTATGTGAACATCTACGCAAGTAATTGGCTATTTAGTTGTTCTGTAATGCAGATCCAACGGGATAAAATTTTAACTTGGCACATTTCACAAACATTGAAAAAAATTAGCTTAAATATAAAAAAACGTTCCTTTTAATTAAGGAATTAAATTTCTTTCGGTTTAATAATTTGGTTAATAAAAATATATGCCCTTGCCACGGCTTACTTGCCTACCCTTTTCCTAGTTCCTTCGATTATCAATTCATTCGTATCTTTGTGGCAGTCAGAGGAACAAAAACACCCACATTTTTTCACCTTCCATCATGGGTAATTTAAGTTCTTCCTTGGAAGAACATCCAACTCTGTACGTAAGGAATTCCAATCGATGTGAGTGTTATAGTCACTTGCTACGTTTATTCATACTTTTAGTATTATAAAATGAATGCGTGACTGGCTTTTATTATTTTGTTTATAGTAAGTTATCCAAGATAGTTCCTTTTTGTTCACCTTTGCATTTGGTTCAACTTGGCCCTCGTGAAGTTCATATTACAGAGATCGTAGTATCAAATTCCGCCCATACCCCATACGTAACGTTTCCAATCACATCAAATGGTATTTCCGCCATCCCAAACACCACAGATCTCCTGGAATTTATTCAGGACCCTAACGCCCAATCAATCAATCCAAGTAAAATTTTACTTAAACTCGGAAAGGATAAAAAACTAGAAATGAAATTTAAGTTTAATATTGGTAAAACTGATGGAAGTAAAGCTGATGTGAAAGGTCTCACGTTTATCAATGTTGCCAGTGAAAGAGAGTTGGCAAGGATATTAACGGTCGAGTTCAACGATGATCCTAATGTAAGCTAATATAATTTTTAGTAAATATTTGAATGATAAGCTAAGTGCATATTAATAACTCTTATATGTCAAAGAGCAGAAATGAAAGAGCATAAATAGTTATACTAATACATAATATATGACAAATATCATCATAACGTCTTAATCATATTTAAGTGAAAATTGGGATGATATTTGTAAATTTTCTTATTCTATTTTGTCATTTGATTTTACTTATAAGACCTTGAATCTTTTTTTCCACTAAAAAAAAAAGCTCCATAAACATCCAAACGTTACACTTGTCGGAAATTACAAGTCGGATGGAATAAAAACATCCGAAAATGAGTGGACATGGAAATGGTCTCCACCACACAACATGGATGAGATTCATCGGGGTTGGAGAAATCATTGTTGTGTAAGTTTTTTATACTCATTTTACTATAATGGATTAAAATTAGATGATTAAATTTAATCTCGTCATTTTAATTTTCTTCAGTTTGCCGAATATGATGCAAAGGATAATACTTTTACTTTGTTGGCATCTTTCACATTTTGGGTCGCTGGTATGTTAGATCAGTCTCTTGATAAACAATAAATTTATGTTCTTTTTTTTAAAAACCTTTTATTAATGAATTATTTATAGATATACCGCGAAATCATTATCATCGAGCTTCAAGAAGTTCGGGATCGATTGATGGTGTAACATTTTTTCCGGTAGCGTCATCTCTGTCGCCATCATCTCAAAATAATACACTATGGTCTCTTAGTCTTCCACGTAGCATTCGTCCTTCAAGTCCAGATAATGTATTTCTTCCAGTACCGGGTATGTCTTCACACACTTCAGGAACGGCATCATCCGTGTCCAGTGGAGGTCGTCGCTCTTCAGATGACTTAATGTTTCAGCATGAGCCTGATGACGGTCCTTTGTTTCGTGCAACTTTAACTGCATTCGAAAAGAAAACAGGTTCATTAAAACATCATATTAAACGCATTTTAAAGACATCAACTGCTTGTCATGACGTTCTTATGGAATGTCATGAAACTGAGGAAGAATTTTTATCGACTTTAAAAGCTGCATCCGGTGCACATCCTCAAGCATTTCAACCTATTTTAGATAGTTATCTAGAAGACGCATCAAAGAAGATTGCAACTTTTAGAGAAAGTCTTGCAAACCAGATGTCTGTACTTTTAATTGAACCTCTCCGTAAGCTATATGAGAATGACATTAAAGTCGCAGAAAGCAAAAAAAAAGATTTTGAGGAGGAATCTCGTGATTATTACCAGTTTCTCTCTAAATATTTGTCTTTAACAAAAGAAAAGAAAAAGTTAGAATCAGATACTAAATATCAAAGCAAGCGTAAGAATTTTGAGTTGAAAAGATTCGATTATTATGCATACATGCATGACTTACATGGAGGACGTAAAGATCAAGAAATTCTTTATCATCTAACGAATTTTGCTGAAAAGCAGTTTGCATTCTTTCAACAAACTGCTGGTGGTATACAAAGTTTAAAACCGGGATTGGATAAATTGGCTGTAGATGTTGCTGAGGCAGCAAAAGAGATACATTTAATGAGAAAAGAAAGAGAAGAGAGACGTAGAGCGCTCGAAACCCGTGCTACAACAGTAAATCCATTTACTAGTGAGAGTTTTAATGAGGTAGACTCAAATGGCGGCAATGGAAGCACTACGAGTGACAATATGAGTGATGTTGCGGAGAATCAAACTACTAGCCCAGTTGGTTCTCCAATTGTGTCTCAAAATCGGTTTAAAGGAATTCGTGATTTAGAACAGCATGACTCAGAAACTGCATCAGTCGCGGGTAGAAAGAAGGAGGGATTTTTGTTTGCTACTTCGCGAGCAACGCAACATGGAACTGTTGACTCGATCTCAAAGACAAGCTGGCATAAGTAAGTAATTAATAATTAAATCATAAAGTTTTTGTATTGGTATAAATTTTTTATATTTAAAAAAAAATTTTCATTTAAAATTAAATATTAGGTACTGGTGTGTTTTGGCAGGTGGTCAACTTTGTGAATATATTAATTGGAAGAAACAATTAGAAGCGCATAATGATCCGATAAATTTACGTTTTGCAGCAGTAAGGGAGGCAAGAGGAATTGAACGTCGATTTTGTTTTGAGATTATTACACCTCAATATAGACGTATATATCAGGCAACTTCAGCCGAAGATATGTCTTCTTGGATAACAGTTATTTCTAATGCAATTGAAAGTATTCTTAATGGGACAAGCAGTTGTCGCAATTTGGATCAAGTTATGGCTCAAGATTCAAATGGTGCCGGAGCCGGGCAGGTATTTAAGAAACCAATACAAAGAAGAGGAACTTTACCCAGCTTGACAGATAAACGAAAAGTTGATATGAAAAAGGGTCTTGGTTCCGAAGAGGCAACATCAAACAATCAATCGGATTGTCGACAAGAAATTATAGAAAGCGAAAAATCCGCTCGAGTTCTTGAAAGCATTAAAGGCGCAGATGCATCAAATGCAAGTTGTGCAGATTGTGGTGCTCGTAAAACAGAATGGTGTTCTATTAATTTAGGGATTGTGTTATGTATAGGTAAATATAATTTCATATAATGTTAGTGATTTAAGATATTTTATTATTTCAATACCTATTAAAAGTTAAATTATTAAATTTTTATTACATTATAGAGTGCTCAGGAATTCACCGTAGTTTGGGTACGCATATATCTAAAATAAGGTCGCTTACCTTAGATACAACGTCATACACGCCTGACCTTGTTAATTTAATTAAATCTATTGGCAATGCTCGATCTAATGCAATTTGGGAAGCAACGCTTGAGCAGCGGCAAATACAGCAACAAAATGGTGCACTATCATTGCCACCAAAATTTGAAGCACCTTCTGTATCACTGAATAATGATGATACGTCTACGTCAACACCAGTCACAGATGCCGATTGGGAAGATCTTATTAATTTGATTTCACCATCAAATCGTGGTTCGTCACTATCCCCATCTCCATCCCCTTCACCTTCACCTACCCCTTCACCAACACCTTCTCCAATACCACCAGCACCCACTGTAAAAAAGCACAAAGTTATAACAAAGCCAATTAGTACCGATTCTCGTGACATTAAGAAAAAATTTATCACAGGCAAATATGTTGATAGGGCCTTTATTGATCTTTCATTAATTGATGAGGATAAAACTGCTACGGATATTCTTTTTGAAGCAGTAAAGACTAATGATATACCTTTGGCGATGCAAGCTATCGCATTAAAAGCAGATGTAAATTCGGCTCGTAGATTTGAGGTGGCGGATGATCATGGATTGAAAACTCCATTGTTATTAGCATTGCTTCATATTGATCCTACATTCGTGACAAATGAAGGAGGAAAGATATTATTTCCGATGGCTGAATTATTATTACAAAACGGAGCATACATTGAAAAGGTCTTATTTGATAATTTAGATGATATGCTTGGTGTAGCATCGACGCCTATATCCCGAAGCTCAGCAAAAAGCGTTGGAGCTTGGGCAGCTGAAGTTGTTAGTGATATGAAAAAATCAGGAAAGTCTGTTTTCGATGTAGTTCAAGCTAGTGGTAATATCGCGGCTATAAGATACCTTACACCAAAAGTCCTTGCAAGAGGTACTGCATCAACACTTAATAGTGGAACTCCAATGACTACAACAAGTACAGGTGGTGTAGTTGGTGGTTCCATAATAGAAAAAAAACCTTCCCCAAATATAGGCCGATCTATATCAATATCAGTTAAAAATGTTCTCATGACGGGTTCATGAAACATTTTTTTTTTGATTGTAAATCTCTCTTTTTATAATTTATTTAAATTTTTAAATTAATTCATTATTTCAATTTATATATTTTGACAATTATTATTTGTATGAACTTTATATATATATATTTTTTATTATTATTATTTATGCATAATATTATCATTAAGATTTAAATTTTTATTATTTAAAATGTACTTGTATCAAAAAATTTATTTATTTATTTATATTTACTAGTTGATAGAATGTATTGTTTTTAACTTGGGAATTTATTATATTTATTATTATATAGTTTATCTTTTTTGTGTATATTTTATATATATATATATATATTAAGAACTTTTTTTAAAAAAAAAAAAAAAAAAATAATTTAATTTTTTTTAATTGTATTTATAAATTAAAAGTATATTTTTTTTTTTTTTTCAAAAAATATATTTTTTATATAATTATAATAAATATATATTAATTATAAATATAATAAAAAAAAAAATTTAATAAATCTTTTATTTTGAAAGATATGATGCTGAAAGTCTTAACAATGTTTCAAAATTTTTTGTGGATTTGTTATCATGTGATTAGTAATTGACTAATGAAAAATGAGATATTAATCATTTTTTTCTATCTACCCTTTAAAATTACAATAATTTGGGCTGACATTATGATTAATTATCATAATGTCAGCTCGAATTATCATAAATTTCAATCAATAATATATGTTTCAAATTCAGAAAGATCATATGAAAATTATCTAATTTTAAATGCCTATAACTTTTTATATAGAACTTATTTTGAAAAACTGACTGGTAATTTAATAGAGCTTATCTCAAAGAATAAAGTTACCAGTTTTATTTTTCTTAATTTTATTTTTTTAAAGAGTTGAATGTTACATTTATATTATTGAGTATAGACTTCCTACACCATATAAAAACTTTTTTATATATATTAGTCTTACATTTTGATTTAATCTGATCAAAAAATTTAGTAATCAATAAAATTTCTTTGAAGTTAGATTAAACAAGAAAATCAATAGGTTTATTTACTTTTGAAATTCAGATTTTTAATCAGATTTTGAATTGATAATCATTAGCAGAAGAGTTTTGTGATTTAATTAGTAATCTGATTTTTGCAAACTAAAAAAGAGGTAATTTTAAATTAAAGTCATATTTAATATAATAAACATGTTAATTTTTTGTTTTTTTTTAAAAGTAACTTAATAAAAATTGATTTAAAACATGATTTAAATATTTAAATAAATGTGTATCTTAAGATAATAATAATACACATTTTATACAATTAAATTTTAAATAATTATTAAATAAAATTGCTTTAAATAACAATAACAATCATAAAAGTTCTTTCATTTTCTCAATAATAACAACAAAACTTCTACCTCTTCTTCAACAATAGAAGCTTTTCAACAATAACAATAATAGTAAAAAGTATTTTCTCAATATTCTCTCAACATTTTCCTTTATAATATAATTTTTAAATATATGCTTTAGTTTAAAGAAAATGAATTTCTATATAACAAAAATGTAGAATCTAATAAATCAAGTTTTAAATGATTTCTTGTTAAAATAAAAGATAATGCTGATCAAGATCTTAATATTGATAAAAAAATCTGATTGGAATTAAGATCTTGATCATTTTCAAGAAAATTTTTTTGTCTTGGTCTAAAAGAAATAAAACAAAATATGGTAAAGAATGTTTTATCAAATAAAGAAGCAAATGTAATAAAAGGTAAATTTCTTTTTACTTTTTTATAAACTAGCTATTTAATCATAGAATTTATTTTAGGTAAACTCATGCGATTAATTAAGAAAAATCTTGTATAGAATGAAAAGATTGGTCTTGATATGATAACTTTGATATAATACGCAAAAATATAATTTATCATTTTTAGTAAATAAGTTAACAACTATCATTGATGAGAAACTGAAATAAAAAAGAATATGCCAAAAAAATCGATTCCATGAACTTTGGTTCAGGAAGTTTGCAACGAATCTACATTTCGGAACACTTGTCACCAGAAAAAAATTTCGAGTATGCTCTAGTATAGTAGTTACGAAAGAAATAATCCCGAAGTATGAAGTCCGAAAATGATTTATTAAGACAATTCGAACTTGCTAGGCTTAAAAATATGATCAGCTGCAACAAACTAATTCTTAATTTGTATATTTTGTATATAAAGCTTGGTACTATATAATTTATTACGATTAGAGAGAATTTTTTCTTCTCTCTTTTCCTTGGTGAACTGCAGCAATCATGAATTTGTGTAATAGCCGTAACTGCAGATCCTTTGCCAACTTCTTGGAGTTTTCGTTTACGTTCACTTTTCGTTTTTGGCTTTTTTACCTTCGACCAATGACGGTTTTCTTGATTAAGGCTTTGGCTTCCAATATCAAAGTAAAAAATTCCAAGTTCTGGTCAACTTGTTCAGCTATTTGATATAACTGTGTCCTCGTAATGCGACATATATAGCCACTTGGATTATAAAGTCGCATTAGCATCATCGTTAGTTCTGGAAGAATAACAGGAACAAGATATTGTTAGAAAATATAAGTATGAGTTGAAGTATAAATATAGATACAAACCGGCATGTACCCAGCAAACTACTTCCATCTGCCTTACTGTTTCGGTTTCCCATCCTACTGATCTACCAAGATCGACAAACATGTCCTTTCCTTTAAAATCTAATAATTTATTAATTTTATAAAAAAAATAATATTTTAACGAGTTTGATTTTAATGCATAATGTGATCAGATACTTAGCAACTTGGATTACAAAATAGACAGAATGATTAAATGTAACGCGTTATTTTTTTATATTATTAGCGAAGAGAGAAGAGAGTATCGTAACTTGGTTTATTAAATAATTATATAATTATTCTTTTACATCAAATAGTAAAAACATACAAAGAACATTCTCGTTAATTAATTTAAAATCACAATATGCTTGCACTTAGCCAGATATAGATTAACCTATAACTGTTTCTCCCGGACACCGCGTAGAGGTGGCAAGCCTTGTTCGAGTTAAAAAAA